AAAAAACAAAAAAAAACATCAGTTAAGAAATTTTTCCTAAAGTGAAAACATCGTAAAGGGTCTGAGACACAAAAAGTTTGAGAGCCTATGATAAAAAATGTTGAAAAAATATAAAAACTGTGTAAGTATATTTCTTAAAAACATTTTGATAAATATATCGACTTTTAGTTACGATCAATAAAATTTATTACATAGTAAATACTAAGTGCAGCTTAAAGAGAAAAGGCTTCTAAAACAAAACGTTTTTGTTTTTTTTTCAATTAGCGATAAGATAAGAAACCATTATTTAGCAAACACAATTTGCATAAATACACGGAAATTTTCCATCACTGATAAGTACAATATACAATATATTGTTTTTTAACATAAATAATAACTGAAAGAAATTCTTTCGAGCAATTATAATTGTAAATAATTGCTGGCTGATTAATTTAATAACAAAAATATTTGTTCTATATATATATATATATATATATATATATATATGTATTTATATTAGAAAAAAAATTATTAAAGTATAAAATAAAATATTTGCGAATCCATTTACCTCGATTTGCGATTTGCGATAAAGACCTTCCTTCCCCACTTTATCAATTACAAAACTAATTAATTATAATTATGATTCGAAATTGTGTCTTTTGAAAGTGCAAACACATAGGTCTTATTATACACAAATCAGTTGCCTATTGTCAAGTTTTTACCGTTACTTATAATAATTCTGCTGAGACCTGATGACCCAGAATTATTACAGAAGAAGTGACTGTCCGCCTCTCTCATTATTTATATTGACTTAAATTGTTTGCAAAAGAGACAGATTTAAATTTGGAGCAAAAAATTGTAAAGAACTAGATAGTAGAAATAGAAGGAATTTGTATAAAATTTTGGTACAAAGTGTTTGCTAAAGATCATTTTTTAAATATCACCAAAAGATCACTATTTAAAGATCACCAAAGTGTTTTGGAACTCTATAGCCTATAGATTTCTAAAAAATGCACTTTGGTGATCTTTCAAAAGTGGTGAGTGGCTGAGCAACAGATTTTTTAGTACCTTTATGTACAAATTTTTTTTTTTTTAATTTTCCCAGGGTAAGTTATAGTAATCCCAAAAAAATCTAAAATGAACATTTTTATATATCTTTACGTTTCAGAGGTTTCTGAACATTTTGGCATACCTTAGAAAAAATGAACGTGTGTGTGTGTGCGGATACAAATTTTCGTCGACGATTCCGCGAACACGAATCGACTGATTTGAAAAATTCACAAAACATTTGATTGGTATTGATGAAGAGACGTGCTGATTAGTTTTTAGCAAAGGCAGGTCTAGCCGTTTATGAGATACGGGACAAAAACTGCCGAAAATGGTAGTTCAGTTTTTGAGAGGACGGATCATCCGATTTTATTAATTCAAAAAACATTTTATTTGTATTGACTAAAAGAAGAATTGATTAAGTTTTTGGGAAGGCAGGTCTAGCGGTTTCGGAGATCTAATAAAAAAGTTAAAAAAATGCCATTTGGCGGTCAAAAATGTTCATTAGACATATGCACATCAAATTATCAGATATTTTTTAAAAATATTTTAATAATGCGTACACATTTTGTGCCAATTTTTTGGGGTTCCGTACCAAGATTTTTAATTTTGAAGATCTGAATGTCCTCAACAGTATGGAATAACCGATTTGTATGATTGAAACAACATTCGGTTCGTACTCGATCGCGAGGCGTTTTTGCAAAGGGCACGTCTAGCCGTTTCGGAGGCATGGAGCGCAAAGGGTGTAAAAAAGGTCATGCAGTTTTTGAAAGAACGGATAGACGGTATTCAAAAAATGCTTTTACAAACAATTTCGTAATTTTGATCATTTTCAAAAAAAACTAAATTTTGACAAATTTATGAGAATATTTCGAAGTTTTCAAAAAAATCAAATATTTTCAAAAATTTCCAAATTCTCAAAAAAATTAAAAAAACCTTTTTTTGCTTTTAATACCGAAAATTTCGTAATTTTGAAAATTTAAAAAAATTCAAATTTTCAAAAAATTCAAATTTTCGAAATTTTTCATCATTTTTTCAAAAAAACTAAATTTTGAATGAATAATTTCAAAAAAAAAGTTCTTACAAAAATTTGAGAATACACCTAAGTCTGTTTTTACACGGAGATTGGTTCCAGAAGAAGTCGTGTAAAAAAAAAACGTGTAAAAAAAGACATTGATCTTATACAAAAATGGGTGATTTGTTCCTAATCTCCAAAACCTATTAAAATTAGTGAAAAACAAGAATTTTTAAGAACAAGAATTCATGTTTATTTTATTAAATCAAATATAATAAAAAAAATCAAAGTAAAAATTGTTTGTACGCGCTAAAGGGGAATTCACTTAAATCTTTAAGCGAGTGTTCGCAAACTATCGATACTATCGATGGTTTCAGAATTTTTTCTTTCATAAATACTTTTTTGTGATATGAACATACTTCGCAAAAATTAAATTTGACAAAAAAAATTAAGTACATAAAATTGTAAATCGTGCTAAATGGAATAAAATCGTGTACAAAAATTAAAAATATTCAATTTTCAAACCGTGTTATATCAAAACCGTGTACAAAAAGACCGTGTAAAAACAGACTTAGGTGTATTTCGAAATTTTCAAAAAAAAATCAAATATTTACAAAAATTTTCAAATTCTTAAAAAATTTAAAGAAATTGATTTTCTCCAAAAATTCGAAAAAAAAACGAACTTTTAAAAAACTTTCAAAATTTTGAAAAAAATTCAAAACTTATCAAAAAAATCAAATTTAAAAAAAATTGAACAAATTTCTTGTAAACATTTACATTAAGTTGTTTGCAGAACACGTAAAGCACATATAAATTTACAGTATGTATTTATAATAAATTGATTATTTTCATTCCTCAAATTTTCAATAACGGTACGGGAAGTTCCAGCAATTTGCCTTAAGGCACGATGCCATGCACCACTAGTTATTTCATATGAAATGGTTTAATTTTATGAAATTTGCAATAAAATCTCCATTGCTAAAGTTCATTGACAGTGCGACACCGTTCGTTGAAAATGAGTTTATATATGTTGGGTTTCTAGTTTGTTTGTTAAAAACATTAGGATGTAACACTTATTTATATATTATAAACATTAATAATTGTGATATTAGAAAAACTAATGTCCGCAATGATAATTCTAGTGCAACGTGTTAAATTGTCCGTGGTCAAGTTTATTTCGCTTCATGGTGCGTGCAAATGTTAAATAATTAGCAAATTTATTGTTAGCAAAAGTAACTGTTTTATAAAAATTAATATCATTATATCTTAGGTATAAAAATGAAGCTCTCGATCAACTGATTTTCTAAAACTCGAAAACGGCTAAACCGATTTGGCCATTCTTAGTCTTGAAATATTTCGTGCTAATCAGTAGGTTGTCGGAAAGGTGAGATATTATTTTAAAATCGGGTACAAACTTTGCATTTTTAATTTGAAAATTTTTGTAGAAGCGTAATTTGTATAAAACAATGGACGGTGGCTAATACGTCAAATGTCAAACGTTTTTGACAGATGATGTTCAATTCAGTAAGATGTTTTACGTTAATATTATTTAATTATGTTTAAATTGTAATAAGTAGTTTTGTTCGTAGTTTTAATTATATATAAAAACGTTAGTAAACGGGCCGCAAGTTTTACTAGAGACTCAAAATATCAACTTTTTTGAAATGTTAATATGAAAATGCACTTTTTGGCATTCTTTTCTCAAAAACGGTGCTCTGAAAGATCTCATTTGTATAATTATACTCATTGGTATCTATAAATAATTTTCTAGATTATATTATTTTTTATTTATGTTATTCAAATTCAGAACCTAAATTTGGTATCGATCAAATGGACATTTTGTCGAATAACATTTTCCCAGTTATAATTTCCCAAAATTTATTGAAAAATAGATAGTAATATATGAAGGTCGACCACCTATGTGTCAAAAACCAGTAAAGTTAAGCATTGTTCAACAACAATATTTGAAAGTAGAGGGAAAAAGATGTATAACCAGCTATAACCTTGATTCTCATGACTTTGCTATCAGGAGATAAATCGTAATCTTTGAAAATCCATATTTAAAGTATTTTCTTTCGTTGGTAGTTTTTTAGCATTAGTTAAAAATGTAATTAATTTGTAAAATACCTTAAAAATTAAAATAAGACATTAAACTTCTTGGCCGTTCCAAGTTACCCCGCCTAAAGGCTAAAAGTGTAGATAACAAATTTTTGAAAGACAACAAAAAAGCACATTTCTACAATGATGAAGTAGCTGGAAGTTTTACTGAACGTAGTCAGATAATTGTTCGTTTGAAATGTGTTATTTGTTGTGATATAATTGGTTTGATTTTTATAATATAATTAATATTTGCTCAAAGTCAAATTGGACCTTTGTGCCTCGCCCTGCTCTACATATATACTTTTTATTAAATTTACTTTAATTCATCGAATGTTACTTGAAACTTTTCAAAAAGCAGGTCAAAGAAGAAATACTCAATTTATTTTTTATCTCTCCTCGCACAAAATTTGAAACTTTTGTATAAGTTCAGTAGTATTATTTACAATTATACACAAAATCCAGAATCCAAAAAGAATCTGAAAAACTTGAAACGTAATCAATAAGTCGAAAGACCAAAAAAGACTCGGATTGGATTATACGATGTTTTCTATAGAAAGTATATAAAATTTTTAGTTTGATTGTACTGACAAAATATAGACAAACTAATGGTGTTTATTGTTTCTATAATACCTCATTGTATATAGCATTCAAACAACACTTAATCCTTATACACTTAAAGTATTAATATTCTTGATTCTCTAGAAATTGTTTACAATATACCTTACTTAGCAAAACAGCGTTTGCCATGTCAGCTAGTATTATCTAAACTAGTGGTGTATGGCATGGTGCCTTAAGGCAAATTGCTAGAACTTCCCGTTTCCCGAACATGAAATAAAAATTAATTTATGATTCCACTCACCCCTGCCACCATTTCTGTCTCCTGCCCAAAATTCCGCTGAACAATCCGAGAGGATTATCAGCAAAATCGAATCCTGCAGAAGCAAAGAAGTTATGTCCATTGTTGACAGAAAATCCTCCGAGTCCTCCAAGGAGAGAAGGCACCATGGAATCGACATCAGGACGACTATCTTCGTCACTGGTTTCAGGCAATTCAGGAACAGTCTCGATTTGCTCGATGTCGGACGTGTCGGCTGTTCTGCGACCTGCCCAATTTGAATGAGGCTCTGGAGAGGAAAAAATAATTGGACTTAATTAAATCAGAAGAAAACCAGTGCAAGAGTATGGTCTAAGGCAAATTGCTGGATCTGCCCGAACAGTAAATTAAATATTTCTAAATCTAATTCTCTTTTAAATTCGCCTATTCTACTTATGTCCTCTAACTTTAACTTAATTAATAATGAAATAGATATTCACAACACTTCACCTAATCAAATAATCTCCATCTGCACAAGTTAACATTTTTATTTTCTTTTCAAATATCTCATTATTTTATCTTATTCTGTTCATAAATAATATTGTTACATTCTGCATTACATGTAATTTTATATTAAGCATTTTATGTTAAACTATATATTGTAATTTTGTATATATTTTAATTGTTATTCATTATGTAAAATAATTGTATTTTTGAGTCCTCTTGAAAGAAATCTGTGGGCTATATATTTAAAATAAATAAATAAATAAATAAATAAATAAAATATTCAGAAATAGAATAATCTATAATCAATGAAAACTTATCAGGAATAACAACTGTTTTAAATAGTTTCAAAGAAGTTAGTATAAGAACTGTAACTTTCAGATATAAAATTTAGGCTCATCTCGCCTTTATATAGATTTCCAAAAAACGAAACATATATGTACAAAATTTAATCGAGTCGCATTGGAAGTTTTCATCTCATATTTGTAAGACTTATATAAAACTAGTGCCTTAATTGTACCTTAAGGCAAATTGCTGGAACTTCCCGTACAGTAACGATATGTTCGAGGGATACTGTTCAAATAGATTATTATTAATAAATATTGTAACATTGTCTAATATTTATAAGAATTATATAAACTGAATTGCAAAGTTGAAATTATTTGTTTAAAGTATATTAGAACTATAGTCAGAATTAAAAATAAAATCTGAATTATTTTCGATGTACAAAAAAAAAAATTATACATTTTTTTTTCCAAAATCAATTATTTTGTTAAGACAAGTAGAAAGATTTTTGAATCATTTAAATCGGACGCTTAGTTCTCTCAAAAACTGCCATTTTTTACAGATTTAGCTCCGTATCTTCGAAATGGCTGGCCCTACCTTTGCCAAAAACCAATTACCACTTCTTTCAATCATTACTAATTGAATGTTTTTTTAGATCATTCAAATCGGATGCACCGTTGTCTCAAAAACTATATTTGTATTTACTGCACCCTTTTCTCCGTATCTCCGTAACGGTTGGACCTACCTTTGCCAAAAACTAATCAGCACATCTACCTATCAATAGGAATCAAATGTTTTTTGAACCATTCAAATCGGTTAATCCGTACGCCCAAAAACGTGGGCGAAAATTTGTATCCATACATACATACACACTCACACACACACATACACACACACACACACACACATCCATTTTTTCTGAGGTATGCCAAAATGTTCAGAAACCTTCAAAACGTCGAGAAATGTAAAAATTTTCAATTTCGATTTTCGGCCCATTACAATAACTTACCCTTCAGGAAGTTAAAAATAACTTTATTAGAATTTAAAAATAAATTTTGCTAACAAAAAATCTGTTTTGTTGAAATTTTTGTAAAAAGAATAGTTTTTTTTTGAAAATTTTGAATGTTTTTTGAATCATGAAATCATGAATAAATAATTGTATTTAATTATAAACACGTATACACATAGATACATTTTTTCTAAGGTATTCCAAAATATTCAGAAACCACTGAAACGTAAAAATATGCAAAAAGAATATTTTTAAATCAAAGTAATCCTAATTAATATTTATTAATTTTACTAATATTAAATATAGATAAAAGTACCAAAATTATATCAAATAGAATGAAAAAATCATAATATGTGTATGTTATGTGTAATGATTGAATTTTATATGGAACAGAGTATAAAATTTGTCTGAATCGACAACTAAGTAAAATATCTTTAAAATTAAAAAAAAAATAGAACTAATAAATAATTAAGTAAGAAAAAACTAAGAACAAATGAATTGTGATGGATAAATTAATTAATGAATAGAAAAGTAAAATTAAAAAAAAGAACTTGAAAATTAAAATTAATAAATATTAATATTTAATAATTAAAATAATATTATAGGTAAGTCGAAATCATTCAATTTCTATAAATATAAATAACGAACATCTCTTTCAAGAAGTCAATAAACTAGTGGGGTGGGTGGCATCGTGCCTTAAGGCAAATTGCTGGAACTTCCCGTACCGTAACGAAATGTTCGAGGAATACTGAATGTTTTCAAATAGATTATTATAAATTTGTAACATTGTCTAATAATTATAAGAATTATATAAACTGAATTGCAAAGTTGAAATTATTTGTTTCAACAAAAAACTAAAAAAAAAAAAAAAAAAAATGAACAAAATTTTTTTTTCCAAAATCAATTATTTTTGTTAAGACAAGCAGAAAGTTTTTTGAATCATTCAAATCGACGCTTAGTTCTCTCAAAAACTGCCATTTTTACATATTTAGCTCCGTATCTTCGAAATGGCTGGGCCTGCCTTTGCCAAAAACTAATAAACACTTCTCCCAATCATTACTAATTGAATGTTTTTTTAGATCATTCAAATCGGATACTCCGTTCTCTCAAAAATTCGATTTCTATTTTCTGCACTCTTTGCTCCGTATCTCCGAAACGGCTGGACCTGCCTTTGCCAAAAACTAATCAGCTCTTCTCCTTATCAATAGGAATCGAATGTTTTTTGAACCATTCAAATCGGTTGATCCGTGCGCCCTAAAACGTGACTGGAAATTTGCATCCACACATACATACACACACACACACACATACATACACACACACACACACACACATCCATTTTTTCTGAGGTACGCCAAAATGTTCAGAAACCTTCAAAACGTCGAGAAATGTAAAAATTTTCAATTCCGATTTTCGGCCCATTACAATAACTTACCCTACGGGAAGTTAATAAAATATGCATTATTATTTATTAGTATTGAGTTTTGAGAATAATTTAATTTTAACTTGAGTTGTTCTAAAATTTAAGAAAAATTCATAAAATCCAAAGCATTTTCTTTACAGTTAATTTTTATTGAAAGTGAAATAAGAATTTTTTTGAATTAATTATATATTGATGGGATATTAATTATATTTTTGTATTAATTATGTATAGTGTGGTATTCTCTGAACGCGAAAGTATTCGAAAATAAAATTTTTAACTTTCATAGTGTACAGTACTATATTATATTTCCCAGTTTCTTATAAAAAAATGCCCATAATTTAGAATTGTGTAAAATTATTAACTGAATTTTTTTTAATCTGTTGTGCATGCAATTTATCTCATTTAGCAAAATCTACATCAACGACCTCATTTCATTATTGGTTTCAATTAGTAATAGAATAATAGTCGATTTAACCTCTAATTAATATTTGCTGCGAGTCTGGTTTCCTGGTATTTTATTAGTTACATTATATCATCATAGGCTTTGAATAAGCTTATCAGATGAGCACTAATTATTAATAACTGTGATCAAAAGCATTAATTTTATAATAATTAATATATCAGCAACCTTAATTGATGGTATAAATTCGCATTGCGCAAGCAAGTGTAAATTTTCGAGCAATGAACTTTGTGACCGAGAAAAGAAATTTAATAAAATTGCAAATTATTTCAAAGATATCAATAGAAAATTTGATTTTCGAAATAAACAGTTAAACATTTTACCTAAATATCTGAATCTCAATTCTTACTGATTAAAATTTATACATTTATCAGGATGTTCATACAACTTGCCTTAAGGCAAAATGCCACTTACACCTAGTTTTTTTAATAAATTTCACCGGTAATATTTAAAATTCAATAGAAAGCGTTGATGGTTTTTCCTAAGTTTTAATGTGCCACATAAAACATCAACAATAACTTTCTCGTCGTTGCTGTCAGTCAAATTTTTAGATCTCACATGGATTGATTCATTAATATAATTAATGGAATAGACGTATAAAATTATTGTTTTCAAAATTATCTGTCATCAAAATAAAAAAATCTCATAAATGTCAAAGTTTACTCAACTTTTGGCCAAAGTTGGCGCTTGATATGCAAGAACACAATGAAGCTACTTAGTGTAATGGTAATAAAAGAACTAGTTGGTATTGGTATTTAGCCTTGAGGCAAGTTACATGAACTTCCCGATATGTGTAATTGATCGACTTCATCCATGATAGATAAATTAATTTATAAGTAGTTAAAAGCATTCGAAATGGATTTATCCCACATTATTAAAAATCGAACACGTCAACCCGGTCGGAATATTTTCTAGAAGCAAATTTTCAGAAATCAATAATTTTTGTAATTGAACCAGTTTTCGTAGGACGTTAATGGTTTAGTATGTTCATTAAGACCAAGTACTAAGTAAATCGTCTAATTTTAATTTTAACAAACGTCAACAAAGCTACTCATTTTCTCAAACTTTGATGAATTTTTAAAATTAAAGTACTTGTCGTAAGGCCGTAATATTTCAGTAAGTTCTATAAGACCATGGTATATATTGCCAAAAAAAGTTCCATAAACATCGTCTTAATTTTTTTTTTCAACAGTTAATTACAAGAAAACGGCTCGGTAGATTTTCACCTAAAACTAATCAGTATCATTCCCAACTAATATCTTTCGAACAGTTTTTGATTTTTTAAAATCGGTTCGATAGGATGAGCTTAAATGTGAACGAAAAGTTTAACACTCTTTTTCAAATTACAAAGAAACGGCTGGACAGATCGTCTCATAAAATTGACAAACTATAGTGCTCATTGAGATACATCGAATGGCTTTTAAATTTGTGAAACCGGTTCAGGCGTTTTTGAGCAAACGTCGATGAAAGGTCTAATTTTGACAAATGCCAAAAAAACGATACCAATTTTTGCTAACTTTGACGAATTTTTAAAGCTAAACGAGTTGTCGTAGGGCGGTAATATTTTAGTATGATCTAGAAAACTATGATGTCTACCGTCAAAAAAGTTAAAAAAATCGTCGAATTTTTTTTAAAAAAAACTTTATTACAAGAAAACGGCCCGGCCGATCTTTACCAAAAACTAATCAGCACGATTCCCAACCAATATCTTTCGAACGGTTTTTGAATTTTCAGAATCGATTCAGAATTGCGGGCTGAAACGTGAACAAAAATTTTTCACTTTTCTGCTATTTATAAAGAAACGGCTTGGACTATCGTCGCACAAAACTCAGAAACGCTAGTCCTCATCGAGATATATCGAATGGCTTTTAAATTTTTGAAATCGGTTGCACCGTTTTTGAGAAAACGTCGATTTATGGCAAAAAATCTGTTCACACACACGCAGCACACAGACACATATTTTTTCCAAATGTTGGTCTCATTCGATTGAGAATGGCTTGAAACGTCGAGAAAACATAAAATTAGCGAATCGGATTTTTGATGAAAACATAAACTTCTCCTTCGGGAAGTTAAATATCAAGTGTTTTGTATCTAATTTAAAAGGAAATTTTATTTTGTAGATATCTTATCAGAAATGCCGAGTTCCTGGCTGAAGGATGCATGGAATGGAACCAGTTCCAGGCCCAAGCAGCAAATCAGACACCCTCACAGAATCTGAAAATGCATCAAGATCTTCATCCACAAGATCATCAAAAAAATCAACGAGAAAATCACTCGAAGAGGTAACAAACAATATTCGAAAAAGTGCATCCCAAAAAGAAGAAGAAATCATAGAGTTGGCAGCCCAAAAAACAGCCGAAGTCAACAAATTGGCAGCAAAAAAAGAGGAAGAGGTAAAAAGAACGTCGAGGCCATCTGAAGAACAAGTCAAAAGTGCAGCACGTGAAAAAGCAGCTGGGGTAAAAAGATTTAGTAACAAATCCGAAGCAATTTTGGAAGACTCTTTGGTGAAAAATCAGGAGTACGAACAAAAACTTCAGAAAATTGAGGAAGAACGACAAACAGCCGTCAAAAAAATAACAACAGCCAAAGACGATGCTATAAAAAAAGTGATGGCCGATAAGGAAAAAGAGATTCAAAAAGTTATGCAAGCACCACAAAAATCTCAACCGCGTACCGAACGATCGCCTTTTGAAAAAAGGGCCTCCTCGCCAACCAGAAGCCCACCGCCAAGTGCCAAAAAACCATCAAGAACACAAATTTCAAAATCTACACATCCAAAACCATCAATAGTCGACGACCAATCCCTTGAAAAATCCGTCAGCAAATTAAAAAAATCTGCACAAGAGCCTGGTCAAGAAACTTGCCAAATGCCAGAGAGAAAAAAGTCCAGGCAAGGCAAATTTTATGAGCTGAGGACTCCTTCAGGGCACCGGTTTTTGGCAAGAAGTTTGCCTGAGCTTTTGGAAAAACATAAAAGGGCTGTTGCAGCTTCGTCTGCTGAAGAACAACACAAACCTCCAGAAACTGAGGAACAAAAAGCGCCTAAGGCACCATTTGCTAAAGGATGCTGCGGTTGAGATGAATAAAATTGGGAAATAATATTAGTTGTAAATGTCAAATTTAATTTTAAATAAAAAAGTTGATATGGTTTATACCCGGCACTCTTCGATTTAAATCTTGTAAATTGTTTTTTTGATGAATAAACAATTTTTTAACTTTCCGAAGGAGTTGTTTTCATAAAAAAATTCGTTTTGCTAATTTTATGTTTTCTCGACGTTTCAAGCCATTCTGAATTGAATGAGACCAAATTTGGAAAAAATATGTGCGTGTGTGTGTGTGTGTGTGTGTGGCGCAAGCATATTTTTGACCTTTCTTCGACGATTTCTCAAAAACGGTTGAACCAATTTTAAAACTAAATTTATTTGGTTGGTGACTTAGATTTTGATAAATAAGACAAATTGCATGCTTCTCTTAATAATTTTAGAAATGAATTTAAATTATTGGCAATTTTTAAAATTGCCTACTGAGATTTTATTTATTATATATAGATATTTATTATATATAGAGATATTATATTTATATTTATATTTATATTTATATTTATATTTATATTTATATTTATATTTATATTTATATTTATATTTATATTTATATTTATTTAGAGGATATTTATAGATTAGATTTATTTATTTAGATTAGATTTAGATTTATTTAGAGTTTATTTTTATTTATATTTCTATTTATTTTATATTTCTATTTATATTTATATTTATATTTATATTTATTTGTATTTATATTTATATTTATATTTATATTTATATTTATATTTATATTTATATTTATATTTATATTTTTATTAACTTCCCGTAGGGTAAGTTATTCTAATGGGCCGAAAATCGAAATTGAAAATTTTTACATTTCTCGACGTTTTGAAGGTTTCTGAACATTTTGTCATACCTCAGAAAAAATCGATGTGTGTGTGTGTGTGTATGTATGGATACAATTTTTCGTCCACGTTTTCAGGCGCACGGATCAACCGATTTGAATGGTTCAAAAAACTTTCGATTCCTGTTGATAGGGAGCTGATTAGTTTTTGACAAAGGCAGGCCCAGCAGTTACGGAGATAAAGAGTAAAGAGTGCAGAAAGTAGAAATCGAGTTTTTAAGAGAATGGAGTGCCCGATTTAAATTTTTCAAAAAACATTTCATTTGTATTGACAATATGAAAAAAATGATTAATTTTTGGAAAGGCAGGTCTAACAGATTTGGAGACCGAGTAAAAAAAAGTGAAAAAACATGTCATTAGGGAGTCAGTTATTTTATAGTCTAAAAAAAATCTTTCTCTATAAATTATCAGTTAAATTATCAGTTATTATATAGAGATTTTAACAATAAGTATAAATTTTGTTTACATTCCTATGGGTTCCGTACCAATGTTTATCCGTTAGACAGCGACGCGGCGCTTCGATATTTCGTCTCTATGCAGTTAAAGCAGTACATTGCTTTGACAAAAGGTTCAGAATTTCCAAAATATTTCAAAATAAAGAAAATATTTTTTCTCAAAAATGTATATTTTTGTCAAAAATTTATAGTTTCTCAAAAATCTAATTTTTCCAAAGTAAATTTTTTTCAAAAATGTTTTGAACAAAAATTTAGTACGAGAAGTTTCAGCAATTTGGCTTAAGGCACGATGCCATGCTCCACACTAGTTTTGTTTTTATATTTGTATATATTTCACAGAGAATAAAATAGCATTAATTATGAATATCTATGTGTATGTATATAAAAACATACTTAATTATTTTTTTTAATCTGTAATATTTAATTACTATACAAGTAATCATAAATATTTGATGATTGTTATTTATGTTATGTTATTTTGCAATTATTCTACTATTATGAATGCCATTCCAGGCAGTTTATTATATAACGAATTTTTATTTTAATTCAAATCAGATAAGGATATCATTAGAAATATTTCCTAAAAAAAGAGAACATTGTCAATTTTCAAAAATAAAATAAATAAAAAGAAAATGTTATCTATATTACATCAATTAAACGTTTAAAATCCGAAATAAAAAACCTGCTCTTTTAGATCACTTTTCACTAAAAGAAAACTCGATCGTCAAGTGAGTATTATTGATATTATTTTAGGCTTGTTATAATTCATAGATAATAAATTTGTTTATAACACTTTAGGCACATTATAGTTTATAACACATTAGGCACACGTTATGATCATAATATTAGGTTGTCAAATATCTCCCTTCCGCTTTTTTGCTCTTGGTTTATAATACAAAAAGGCGGAAGGGAGATATTTGACAACCTTATATAACAAAAATTAAAATTTTTCCTCATAGATTTTTTTTACTTACCAAGTGGTTCACGGTCCCTTTCAGTGACAGCCTCTTCTTCCTTGTGTGTTTTTTTAGGAACATGCCTCTGGTTATGAGGGTAAACATTTTGGTAGCCTCCAGGCCAAACGCTTCCACGATTGGCACCTACATCTCGCCTCCAACTCAAGAACTGGTCCTCGAATTGGGCTTGACTAAAAAAAAAAAAAAAATATATGTCAAATATTAGCAATATATTTTAAAAATTAATAGTAAGTATTTCGATAATGGATCTTTTACTACAAAAGATCCATAATGCTATAAATTTTTTATATATTTATTTAGAACTAGCTGACCCGTCAACGCTAAGTAAGATATTGCCTCATTTGAATTACGCTTCTACAAAAATTTTAAAATTAAAAATGTAAAGTTTTTACGCGGTTTTGAAGCAATTTCTCACCTGTCCCACAACCTCTGGATTAGCACGAATTTTTTAAGACTAAAAGCGGCCAAATCGGTTCAGCCGTTTTAGAGCCTTACACAATACTTAACATATTATTGAACTCCATTTTTATATATAAGATTATGAAATACCAAAGAAAAATTCTAATCAAAATAAATTTGTTAGTTGAAAGTTTTACATATAGGTTTAAGTGGCATTCAGTTCTCAATACTTTAGTTCTCTCACAACCTCTGGATTGGCACGAATTTTTCAAGACTAAAAGTGGCCAAATCGGTTCAGCCTTATACAATACTTAACATAATATAGATCTCAATATTTATATATAAGATTATAAAAAACCAAAGTAAAATTATAATCAAAATAAATTTGTTAGTCAAGAGTTTTACATATAGGTGTAAGTGGCATTCAGTTCTCAATACTTCAGTTCTCTCACAACCTCTGGATTAGCACGAATTTTTCAAGACTAAAAGTGGCCAAATCGGTTCAGCCTTATACAATACTTAACATAATATAGATCTTAATTTTTATATATAAGATTATGAAATACCAAAGAAAAATTATACTCAAAATAAATTTGTTGGTTGAAAGTTTTACATATAGGTGTAAGTGGCATTCAGTTCTCAATACTTTCATCAAATATAAACATATTTTATATAGAAAATGTAAACTTTTCGTGATGAATTCACGATACTAATCATTAGCACCGCTACAGAAACCGTTTTCTTATCGGTTAAATATATGAGAAACCCGAGTTCAGAGAATTTGAATTCAGTTATATTAGATAGTAGTTGAAAATAAATTTATGGTGGCAAATGTATATTCATATTATACCAAAAAAATTATTTTTGAAAAAATTTAATCAGATTTACATCGATATATTATAAATAACATATAATATATTCTCACTCAAATCGTTAAGATATAAAAACAGTTGTAAATACAAATATATAAAACTAAAAAAAAATCCATCGAAAATGATGTAACTATTACAGCGACAATCATAATCTTTATATTTTAAAAAGAATAATATTTGCCTTTTAGCACATATATTAATCATGACTTGATATATTAAACATACTGCTTTTTATTAATTTTATTCCCAATAATATTTGCTATTTGACACATATTTTAAACATGCACTTGATATATTAAACATACTGCTTTTTAATAATTTTATTCCCAATAATTATATATATATATATATATATTTGTTTTGATTTAGTAATGGAAATTAATTAAAATTTAATTTAAAAAATAGAAAGCTAAGGGTACTTACATACATATATACAGTGTGTGATTAACAATAAAGCTTTTAGTCATATTTGTTCTATTTGTTAATTGTTCTATTTAATATCATGAATTATTTACTATCACATATTTAAAATATTATTTTTATTAATTTAAATTTCAATCTATTTTAAAATAAATATTAGTTACCCAATATTTTTATATAAACAATCGATTTTAATTTCAAAATTAAAAATAGTTCATAATCGTGTTAAGCTGGTGTTAATTAAATTAATCATAAAACAAACTAGATCTAATTGTAAGAGTTATTTTTCCTGAAGGAAAGTTGCCTGAATTTTCCGAGGAGGTGAAATGTAGCTATTTACACAAAATTTTCAACTGTATTTTGAAAGTGTTTGTTTACTAACAATAAGAACTAATCGATGCAAAATCCAATTGATATCTTTCAAGCAGCGTTATAATATATTAATTTTAGTGCAGAAGCAAATTTAATCTGAATATTGTGTGATTTGCCTTCACAAAGTAAAATATTTTTTCCCTAATTACGAATTTGAATATTTTTTCTATATCTGTTTTAATTTTAAAGCATCAAAATTAATTATTCATTTACTTTACAAATAATCAATGAAAATTTTTGCATATCTTTACGTTTCAGAGGTTTCTGAACATTTTGGCACACCTTAGAAAAAATGGATGTACGTGTTTGTGTGTGTGTGTGTGTGCGGATACTAATTTTCGTCGACGATTTCGGGAACACCGATCAACCGATTTGAATAATTCAAAAAACATTCGATTCGTATTGATAAGGAGACATGCTGATTAGCTTTTGGCTAAGGCAGGTCTAGCCGTTCCGAAGATACGGCGCAAAAAGTTCCAAAAACGGTAACTCAGTTTTCAAGAGAACGGAGCGTTCGATTTCAATAATTCAAAAAACATTTTACTTGTATTAAATTTAAAATTTCTCAAAAATTTAATTTTCTTTAGAACAATCTTATTAAAAAAATTAATTTTTGGTACGGTAAGTTCTAGCAATTTGCCAACGCACGATGCCATGAATCACTAGTTATATTTGATTTGATTATATATTCTTATTATTTTTTATTATATATTTTATCTTTATTTATTTTTATATAATAATATTTTATTTAAATAGTCTTATGTATTATTCAAATGTTTTAATTTGAATTAGTTTTTAAGAGAACGGAGCGTTCGATTTCAATAATTCAAAAAACATTTTACTTGTATTGACAAGATGAAGAATTGATCAAATTTTCATGAAGGCAGGTCTAGCGGTTTCGGATATCTAGTAAAAAAAATAAAAAAAAAAATGCCATTTGGCGGTCAAAAATGATCATTAGACATATGCACATCAAATTATTAGATATTTTATAGAGATTTTAACAATAAGTATAAATTTTGTTTACATTCCTATGGGTTCCGTACCAATGTTTATCCGTTAGACGGCGGCGCGGCGCTTACGCGCTTCGATATTTCGTCTTCGGCAGTAAAAGCAGTATGATTGCTTTGAAAAACAGTTCAGAATTACCAAAATATTTCATAATAAATGATTTAAGATAGAATGATTTAATATGATTCGAAATTGTATTGAAAGTTTCAAATCATTGATCATCTTTTAATGATTATTATTATTGATTATTTTTAATTACTCGAATTTTGAATTGCGGTACGGGAAGTTTCAGCAATTTGCCTTAAGGCACGATGCCCTAATTGCCATAAGACAGAATTCCACTTACTGCTAGTTTTTTTGTTTTACTTACATTTACACAAGTGTTTTTTTACACATCGTTATTTCGATTTTTAAAAATGGAGAACTAGGTTATAATATTAGTTTTAGGTATCATTATTTGCAATTAATTGATTATGACAATAAGAAAGCATCCAAATGCTTTGACAATAAATTCGTTATCCTTGAAAGGACACACCAGGAAACCCTTAACAGCATACTAACGTTTTTAAGTTAAATCTCATTCCTCCTCACCTGTTGACAACAGAAAGAACAAGAACGGCTCCTAACAATCGCCACATCTTGGCCGCTAACTTTTCTACTTATGACACAATTCTCGTTATAATATATATAATTCGCTCGCAAACAGAAACTGTATTTGTCAAAATACAACACAAATAGAACCGTCACAGGTAAAAGAATACAGGTATATTTTAATAATACTTGATTTCAGTTCGTTTGATGAGTGATGACTGAAGTGCAACTGTGCGCGACCGCTCGGTTTATACGTGCGCCATCATACCATTGCGCCGGCAGAGGCAGAGGCGGAGGCGGCACCAGTGTCAAGGTCTCCAGTGGCGCACGAAGAGGAAGATGGATCGTTTTATCAACTTCCTTTATTAGGGTAAGTTAAGGTAATCGGGCAAAAAATTGAAAATGAACATTTTTATATAAATTTACATCTTATATATAAAAATGAATCGCAGAATGTATTGGTAAGCGCATAACTCAACAACGCCTGGACCAATTTGGCCAATTCTTTTATTAAAATGTTTGTTGAAGTCTAAGGATGGTTCTTACGGCAAGAAAAAATCGAATAATTGCCGGAAAAACACTAAAAACAGCCCTTTTCTTTTTCTCACACAAACGTTTTCGAAGTAAAACTTTTAAAAATTTGAGCTTTGTTGCTATTATATAAAGTTTATATTAAATTACAAGCACTCACTGTATACTCCTCCTAAATGATTATTCGGATTTTGATAAATCTTTCTGAAGTTTGTTAAGACAATTTTCTAGGATCTATGTGATTATATGGTGTATGATTATAAAGTACTGGGATGTATGAGCAATATTTTAGAAACTAGCTGTAAGTGGAATTTTGTCTTAAGGCAATTAAGGCATCGTGCCTTAAGGCAAATTGCTGGAACTTCCCGTGCCAAAAAATTATTTTTTTTAAAAACGATTGACATTTTTAAAAAAAAAATACTTCGAAAAAATAAGATTTTTGAGAAACTATAAATTAAACAAAAAAATACTTTTTTTTGAAAAAATAATGTTTTCTTTATTTTGGTATATTTTGGAAGATCTTTTTTCAAAGCAATCGTACTGCTTTAACTGCATAGAGACAAAATGTCAAAGCGCGTAAGCGCCGTGTCGCCGTCTAACGAATAGTCAATACAAGTAAAATGTTTTTTGACTTGTTCAAATCGGATGCTCCGTTCTCTTAAAAACTGAGTTACCGTTTTCGGCACTTTTTGCCCCGTATCTTCGGAACGGCTAGACCTGCCTTCGCCAAAAACTAATTAGCACGTCTCCTTATCAATACGAATCGAATGTTTTTTAAATTATTCAAATCGCTTCATCCGTGTTCCCGAAATCGTCGACGAAAATTTGTATCCGAACACACATACACACACACACACATACATCCATTTTTTCTAAGGTATGCCAAAATATTCAGAAACCTTTGAAACGCAAAGATATATAAAAATTTTCATTTTCGATTTTTTTGCGATTACTATAACTTGCCCTACGGGAAGTTAAAAATTTTGGCAAAACTCTCAAAAACTTAGATTTTTGAGAAATTTTGAAAATTTTGAAAAAAGTTGACTGTTTGAAAAAAATTATATTCTGATTTTTTTATTTGAATTTTTTGAAAATTTTGAACATTTTTTAAGCAATCGCTGCATGTGTATATGTGTGTGTTTGCGGATACAATTTTTTGGCGACGATTTCGAAAACACAGATCGCACTAAAAGATGAAGAAAATTGAATACATCATTTTTGTAAATTTTCAATATAAACTAGTGGTGCATAGCATCATGCCTTAAGGCAAATTGCTGGAACTTCCCGATCCAAAAATTAAAATTATTAAAGCACCTTTAAAATTTGTCATAAACTTTGAAAAAAAAAATTTTTTTCGAGAAGTTTTGAAAAAGTTTTTCTTATATTTTGAAAATTATTTGTTACCCAGCGTCTGATTTTTTTTTGAAAATCATAATAACAATAAACAAGAGGTATGTATAAATATTGTGAGCAAAAGAATTAAAGAGACGTCCATTAATGACGTGATCTTTAAAGGGGGAGGGGGGTTTGACAAAAAATCATAAAATAAAACGTGGGGGAGGGGAGGGTTTAGTGAGATATCACAGGTATTTGTTTTTTTCTCAATTTAAAAAGAATCAAAAATAAAAAAATACAATTTTTCTAGATACTAAAAATAAACGTGAGTGTTGTGTAAGGAAGGGGGGGGGGGGGTGTTAAATGTTAAAGTTGTACAACCCTTGGTGAAATTATTTTTTTAATTATTGAGAAAACGTCAATAAAAAGTTTAAAATCAGCTCACACACACACACACATACTTTTCCAAATTCGGTCTCATTCGATTCAGAATAGCTTGAGTCATCGAGAAAACATGAAATTAGCAAATCGGATTTTTGGAAAAAAATCTAATTGTAAGAATAAATTATTTCTTGATTATTCTACGCCACTGGTCTAGCTGCAGTTTGTTTTTATTCTAATGATTTAATTTCTGCTAAACTTATCGCAGGTCAGAAAGTCAAGTCACTGATTTTCTATGTAAATAAATTAATCTGCGTCGGCTTTGCCTTTATTGTTACATATTAAATTTTCAATTTCCTCGAAATCGAAAGCGATAACATTAACGACTAATTGTATTTAAAAAAAATAAAAAAATCACGAGAAACTAGAATTATATCATTTGAATAAATTTAGACGAAATTTAAAAGAACGACCGATTTATTACTTTTCGTCTGACTAGGAGTAAACTCTTGAGTAAATATTTATTTTTTTTATATTTATACATTACAGAAAAAATTCTAGATTTGATCGAAAATTATATTAATTATAATTGTAAGAAATCACCAAATACTCCAAATTAATTTTGAAATATTTTGCCAAATTTTACAAAAAACTAACTGATTTATTACTTCTCGATTGAAAAGATATTAATAACTAATACTCGTGATTAATAATTAGATTAATTTTTTATATTTATTCAATTTTTTATAATAAATAAATCATTTCTAAATTAGATTGAAAATTATACACATTTTAATTAAAAAATCATTGAATTTCCAGAATTATATAATTTAAGTGAATTTTGACAAATTTTATATAAAAAAGCAAAATACTACTTTTTGTTTGAAATTATATTAATACTCGTGAATAAATTTTTAATATTTATATTTATTTAAAGGTGCAAAATTTTATATTAAATCAAAAACTACACAAATTGTAATTAAAAAATCATTGAATACTCAGAACTAATTAACTTGAAAGAATTTTAAAAAATCATCTACTTTATTGCTTATCGCTTGATATATGATATTAGTAAACAATATTTTATTATTTACAAGCAAATAAATGGTTTGCTGTTTTTACTCATTTCCGGATAATTTTACATCAGCTTTAAAATTATCCATGATTATCATTATTTATAATTATTTTATTTATATTATGAACATGATTTATATACGTTCATTAATACCTGGCATTTTAATATCACATCAATTACCCTGTATGATATTTTTTTTAGTTTTTGATGTTTTGGTCTATCAATTATACATTTTTAAATTTATGACTGTTAATGTAATTTTTGGACTAAAATTTTGTCGTTTGTAATATTTTAGCGACCTTGAACTATTCCTTTTAAGAATAAATTAATATTTTTAAAGTAATAATTGATATCTATATTTGTGTAAAATATATAGTTCTTTATCCCATAACGTTAAACATTATTTTTATTCTTTTTAAATTTGCCAATTTTTTAAACTGTCATTTTTTTTCTAATATAGTATTTCGGCTATAAATTGTGATTTATAATTTATTCGAGACATTGTAGTACTTAAATGAGTCGATTTATCTCAAAGTTTCCAGACACATTGACAACTGTCATTTCACAATTGTTTTTCTAAACAACTGTCAAAATTCATTGAAATTTTCGAAATTTTAATATTTCGAGTATGAACTTGGATTTTTAATATGGCCTATAACCTAAGTTGGTTATTAATGCATAAAGTGAGCCAATAAAATTTAAAATCGGTTCAGAAGTTTAGGAGTACATTCCGGACAAACATGGTGACACAAACTATATATGAATTTTTTTCCATAATATATATATATATATATATATATATATATATATATTTGCAAATTGTTCATGGGAATTTATTTTGTAGGCTATGATTCTATTTGCATTTTGCATTCGGAACAAAAAACATTTTTTTTTTATTATTTACTTTTATAAATTACAATCTGTCGTTGAGAAGAACATTCAGTAATTTTTATGGTTTATTATAGAAAGAAAAAAGGTCGAAAGGCCACCCAATAGTAATCCGATTCGATGTTGATTAAAACAAAAAAAATTTTTTTTTCTTCTCTTTATTGAATTACAATCTGCCTTTACAAAAAGGAAGACATTCAGTAATTTTGATGATATATGAAATATTAAACAAAACAAAAAATATATGTGTACATCTGGTAAATCATACAAAAATTGCGTACTTGTTTTAAGAATGCTGTACATACTATAAATGTTATACGTTAATATGTATGTGCACTATGATGACAAATACTAACACTGTTAAGTTTTTTTAGAAAGATATTAAGATATTTCATCTTTTATGAATAACGCACCAAGCACCTCTAATTGTAAGTCAAAGTGTGTATCTAAAGTGATGAATCAATGAGTAAAAGTTTGAAAATATATTAAAATTTGTATAGTTACTTTATGATGTTGTTTACCAGTATTTAACGATGTAATTTTTATTGTGTTATAATTCCATTTATATTCTATTATTATATAAATAGGAGTTTCATCTAGATAATCTTGTACCCTGCTAAATCATACTCTAACACTAAACAAATAATGATATTTTCCAAGATCGCAATGAAACATGATAGAAATGCGCTTCGGGCGTTTTTATTTCTATTAATATAATATTTTATTTTCTTATTATTATGAGTAACATAATAATGCTATACGATATTGTTCGTCCATCGTCATCATATGGAAAAGGTGATACCGAGAAACGTGAACGAGGCGAATTACCATGACAAAGTGTCATTAACGAAACAAACACATCACATGCAGGTATTAAAAATACAAATACTAATGTGACTATGAGTATTGTTTAGGCTTTTTCAGAATGCATTTTGGATGACCCAACCCAG